CGGTCCAGGAGATTCCATCAATCCTTCTGGCCAAGGAACACATACCAATTCGAATTCGGAAAGGATGCGTCATGCTTGGGGGAGTATAAGAGAAAGATTGGGATTGAGGCATGGACCTTCTGGGCCTGGTTCTGGGTCTGGAGTCGTTGATGGGAGTAGTAATAATAATACGGTGGTGGCGGGTGGTGCTGTTCCGAGTTTAGGCACGAGCAATAACGTTGGTGGTCGACCGAGAACGGGTAGTATGGGACCTGGAGCAGGAGGAGGAGCAGGAGGAGGAGGAGGAGTAGGGATGGGGATGGGATTGGGAGCAGAAAATAGACCTCCGACGTCATCGTTTCCTATGGATGCTCGAGAAAGGATGTTGGCCGAAATGGCGAGAGCGTTTAATTTAGGGCTTGGAATGCCTGTCGCTGAGCATGGACAGGGACAGGGACAGGGACAGGGACGAGAGTCCGGGAATGGTGGTTCTGAGACGCAGGATTCTGGACAAGATGGTGTTGATGTTGGTGAGAGAAGGAATGGTGGTACAGTCCAAAGAGAAGGCTCGGGAGGGGCAGCGACGACATCGTTACCTCTTCCAGCTGAGGGAAGTTTCGAGAGGTTTTTGGTAGATTTGCAGACGGATTTGAGGACTGCATTGTTGGGTGGTGCTGGAGAGAGCGTTGGGTTTGGTGGGAGACGTGTACAAGTAGGACAAGGAAGAGGGCAACAGCAAGGAGAGCAGAGAGAACGGGAACAGCAGCACGAGGAGCATGACCAACAACAGCATGCTGCCGCCTCTTTGTCGACAGATTCATCTCCATCTTCATCTTTGGCTAATACTGGCGCTTCTTCTGGTTCTGACCCTGTGTCTACAACAGATGACCATTCGCTATCTTCGACGGCTATGACTTCTACTAATGTCGTAGCCGATGTTCCAGTCCCTGCTACAGAAGCGAGAGAAGTAGAGGAAAGCGCATCTACAACTTCAGACGATTCTATGCCTCCACTGCACGACGTATCAGATTCTGATGACTCCGAGCTGGATGAAGATGAGGATGATGATGATGATAGTAGCGTTGAAGATGATGACGACGATGAGGATGAAGCACCAGCAAGTGCCCACGATGTCATGGCTCAATTGCTCACGACTTTGGCGAGTGGTACGGGTGGCAATAGCAGTAACAATACTCTGACGTCCCCGTCGCCGACGACCACTTCTCGACAAGCAGAACCTACTTCGACCTCTGTTTCTGCTTCTTCACCTGCCCCTAGTCCTCCAGCTCGATCTTTAGGCGGTCCTACTGGTAACGCTAACAATAGTCCTGGACGTATCAATTGGTGGAGATTGTATCGATTTCCACCTATCGCTGCACCTCGAGCTCATGCTGCGGCAGAGAGCGTTGCAGCAAACATGACGTCTTCTTTGGCGCCTCTGAACCCTACGAACCCTCCACCACCTCGTGTAGGCACAGCAGCAGATAGCTTGCTTACTCCTACCACTGACCAGTCAACAGCAACGATGTCGGAGTCTACGAATGAGTCTGGTTCTATGTCTGTGTCGATGGATCATCCCTCTCCGTCGTCTTCCTCGTTATCATCGCCCTCGACGATGTCTGGGTTTGCGTCATCTGAAACTTCACCATCCTCATCTGCGCCATCGCCCCCATCGCCGACATCGCCTGCCACAACAGCGACAACAACGACCACGACTACAAGTACAACAAGCACCAATCTCGTTGTTCCTGTCATCGTTGTCGGTTTACAGTCCGTCAATCTTCCTTTGGGACGTCATGGGAACTTCGGCATGGGTATGGACGCTGGCGGTAACGCTAATCAACACGACGAAAACAACGAGGGCAGTGACCAACACGAGCACGAGCACGAGCACGAAGATTTGGATCAGGACACTTTCAATGAAGAGTTGGCAGAGTTGGAGAGGGATTTAAGGTTGTCTTCTGCTCCTGCTCCATCTACGGACGGGAACGTAAATACGGGAAGTAGAGGAAGGAGATGGCATTCAAGAGCGGCGAATGCATTGAGGAGTTTGAGAGGGGGTTCTAGGCAACAGGATGGACAAGGGGTGAATAGTAATGATAACGGCGGTACTGGTGCTGGCATCGAGACTGGCGTCGGTGCTGGACATGGGGCAGTTAGAGGACCGTTGTTGGATTTGGACGGACCTGGGTCGAGGACGTTTTTGATTTATGTCATTGGGGGTGAGTATATGCGCTTTTTAGATCTGCAAAGATAAACTGATAGGAATCCTTTTTTTCCTTTCATGCGACAGGCTACTATCCACCTGATCATAGTATCGTCACTGGAGAACCTGAAAACTTGGATTCATTCGAAGCGTTGTTGTATGTTCCTTTTTTCCTGCATTTTCTTTATTTTACAAACTCTAATGCAACCCGTTTCTTTGACAGAGACCTCGCCGAGCTCTTGGGTCAAGTCAAACCACCGACTGTGTCGAAAGAGGAAATCGAGAGGTCGGGATTGGAGGTTATCAAAGCCACACAGCTGGAAGAGTACGAAACAAATGGAAAAATTTCGTCCAATTGCACTGAACGGGTGGGTTCATTTATCTGATTTTCCCTTTGGATTCTGTATCTCTTTCTCTTCTTTCGCTAACATTATGATTGTTACTATAATAATTAGTGCTTGATATGCCTCGACGACTACGAGCCGGAAGACGACCTCCGAGTTCTCAGCTGTAAACATGGGTTCCATATGGGTTGCGTGGATAAGTGGCTACAGGAGGGAAAGAATAACTGCCCAGCGTGTCGGACAAGGGTATGTAACAGCCATTATTCTTTGTTTCTTCTGGTCGGTTTTATTGATTGGTCTGTACTTTTGTTTATAGGGTGTTTCGGACGATGTAGCGTCGCCACCACCAACAACAACGACAGCATAATCGTAGCGAAAAAGTGAATCGAAAATGAAGCAGACACACGTCTCCAGCCTCCTCTCCCTTCTCTGTCTATAACCCTCAACTCTCAATTGTACACATACACACACATGCATTTCATCTAACCAGTTTCACAAAACTCACGCACATTCTTTTCCGTTTCTTCCCCGTTCAAACCCTGACCCTTGGCTTTCATCCCTTCCATCCACCCATTTTCTTGACTGAATCTTTCCTTTTTCTGACTTTCTGGTTTCCGTTTTCTTTTCTCTTTTTCTCTTTTTCTTTTAGATTCGTCCTTTCTGTTGCGGTCATATTGCTATCGTGTCTCGTTTCTCTCTCCTTTTTCCTTACTCATACTCGATTCCCCTTCTCTTCTCTTCTCTTTTTTTTTTTCTTTGGCATCAATCCGTTCCATCCATGCATCCATATCTTGACTGCACCATAAAAGATAACCAATTACCGAGTCTTTTTTCCTTGATAGTGAAATGAGTTCCCTTTTATAAGCTCGGTCCATTTACTTACCTACCTACCCAGCTCGTATTATATTAGATAGAAAGATGGACTTTAACTGCTGACCGGTTGGGATCAATGAATAAAAAAGAAAGGTTTATTCACCTCTCCATTGCCTTGGGTACAAATATGCGAAATTCTAGCTACATAATATACTGCTCAAAATGCTAATGTCAAGACCGTTCATTAGACGGCAGTAAACCCATGCTCCTTGAGCTTCTCGACCAGCTCGTCAACGCTCTCGACTTTACCGCCCCCGACGCGTTTAGGTGGTTCGGTGACTTTGAGTGTTTCCATAATGGGGGTGAGGTCCACGCCGAGGTCTGAGGGTTTGAGTTTCTCTACGGGTTTCTTCTTGGCTTTCATGATGTTAGGGAGGGAGGCGTAGCGGGGTTCTGGAGGGATATTAGACGCATATATGCGGTAAGAACAAGCAAATAGGGAGAGGCAACATGAAGAAGCACTCACCATTCAACCTCAAATCCGTCGTAACTATCATCGGCAGTTTAACTCTAACCTCCTCCGAACCTCCATCAATCTCTCTCATCACTTTCGCTTCCTTCTTCTCCACGTCAAGCTCGATCTTACTCGCATACGTCGCTTGACCCCAACCCAACAACCCAGCCAACATTTGTCCCGTCTGACCCAAATCGTCATCTATACTTTGTTTACCTAGTATCACTAAATCCACTGGTTTCCCTCCTCCTCCTTCTCCTTTTTGTTGTTGTTTGTCGATCCAAGCTTTGAGAGTCTTGGCTACGCCTAAAGGTTCAGGCGAAGAAGAAGAAGCAGCGTCGGAGGAGGACGAGGACTCGGGTAATTCGACGTGTACGGCCGAGTCAGCGCCCATGGCTAGAGCGGTTCGGAGAGTGTCGATGGATTTGGGAGGACCGATGGTGATAGCTTGGATGGAGGATATGGTAGATGGGGAATGTTTTTCGCGGAGACGGATGGCTTCTTCGACTGCTATTTCGTCGAATGGGTTCTGTTGGAAATGTGAGGTTGAGTTCCGGTTTTTTTTTGGTTAGTTTTGACTGTTTGCTTTGGAGCCCCAGGGGGGAACGTACCATGGAGTGTTTGACGTTGAGGTCTACACCGGTTTGGGAAGAGTTGACGCGTATCTTGACTGCATAGTCGACGGCGCTGTTACAATGAAGTATGTGTGTGTGCAGTGTGTGTGGTTAATTCGTAAGTTAGTTTCGTTTAGGTGGCAGGAAGTTTGAGTTCAGAACTTGGAAAGTGAAATTAGAGAACTAGGAACAAGAGTACTTACCGTTTGACGGGAACGAGAATGTTAAGTAACCTGGAAGGAGAGGGTCTCATGGCCGTTGGTCGTAGTGGGAGGTGGAAGGAATGAGGAAAGAGTCGCGTAATACCGTAACGCAAAGTACTCGGAGTTCCGGTTGAGCGTGATACTTTTCCTCCCGGATGTTTGTGACGTACCGAACCTCTTATATTCACAACGTGGGCTTCGAGCTTTGAGGGACCTGGAAATGGTCTTTTTGCATAAAATGTTCAAATGAAGCTTCAAGCTGCATTTTGCGGATGTTCACCAACTACACTTTATGTGGCTATTACTATTAGTATGGAATCAAGACAGGCATCAATGGGGTAGTGGTAACCTGGGTCGTTGCCACGTGGGGAGCACGTGAACTGTACTCGACCCGCCGGGGGTTCGATTCCCTCTTGATGCATGATCAGGGTGTATTCTGTTGTCTTTTTCGAGCTCGCCTGGGTGTTGACAACATTGAACGTCGAAATTTTGAAAGCTTAACTAGTTAGTCACATGAGCCTCGAGACCTGGCCTTTCACTACGGGGCCCGGGCAAGAACGGCTTTCCATGGCCAGGAAATTTCCAGGAAATCGTAGGGAAATTTTAAATTTCCGAGATGATTTCCCGAGTCAGGAAATTTCCAGGAAAGTTAAAATTTCCCGAAATTTTCCTAAACGATTTCCTGACTGAGGAAAGTTTGAATTTCCTCACTCGGGAAATCGTTTAGAAAACGTGTCGCTTTCCAAGCCACGTTGCCGTAGTCTATGGCATGCATCATTGCACATAGAAGACATAAACGTGGCTTGGAAACTGACACGTTGGTACAATTTCCCGGCCCAGGAAAGTTTAAATTTCCTGACCGAGGAAATTCAAACTTTCCTCAGTGAGGAAATTGTTAAGGAAATTTTTGGGAAATTTTAACTTTCCTGAAAATTTCCTGGCTCGGGAAATTGTCTCGGAAAGTTAAAAATTCCTTACAATTTCCTGGAAATTTCCCGACCTCGGAAAGTCGTTCTTGCCCGTAGTGTTTTCACAAGCGGATTCCAAAAGGAAGTCTTCTGGATGCGATTATTCATAATCAATCAATGTTGAGGTATGAACAGATTCAGCAGTGACGCCGCTCATTGTCAGTGGCCATCAGCAAAAGCCCAGAGATCTGTAAAGGCCTGGGATGGCTCCAAAAGGTCTATGATGGCTCATACATGATAAGTAGTCATCACAGACATTTTCTAAGTACATGAATGTGAGAATATACAAGCATTCTTTAGAAAGAAAACATTGTTTATCATTACAGCATTATGTGTAGGTTGGAAAAGGTCATACATAATGTTACATGTTCCCCATAATGTTGCATGTGTAAAAGGCTTAACATAATGTATATGCTATCACAGATGATACATAATTTGTTCTCTCATTATCTATGACAAGTAATAGTTTAAGAGCTATTCAAGCTTTTGCAGATTACTAAAGCAAAATTGTATTTGAGAATTACATTACACACGACATACACAATATGTAACAATACTAATAATGATGCAAGCATAACAACCAACCGAAGATAAAATAAAGGAAAGAGAAATGAGAATTGCTTTAGGTGTCCAAGTCCAGGGGTGACGAGTGTCCTGACATAAAAAGAGCATAAAGAGGGCATAGTACAACGGTAAAAAGTCAGTCGGGTTTGCAGAAAATAACGTGAGTCAGGAGGGAATCAGCACCTGCAATGCATACCATAAAGTAATGTATAAAAACACACCTTCAAACCGCAAATAAATAGCATCACCCTAGCAGTGCTTAATCCTCCAAGACCCCGACTTGAAGCCACGTCAACCAGTACCTGCAAACTAAGTATTAATAAAGACAGAACCAGTGTCTACGCACCTTTTACTTGTACCTAGTCACTAATATGACTGGTATAGTAGATGTCGAAATGGTGCATAGAGCACCAACGCTGCGGCCTTGCTGGAGTGGAGTAAGGAGACAACGACGCGAAAAAGTTGTTGTTATAAACAAAAAGTTTGAAGCTCCGCTCCAAATAGTCATGTGACTGTGTCAGGCCGGCACACATTGACAAGTTGAAGTCGCGACTTCCTTAGTAGTCCCAGCAAGATTACTACAACAAAGCCATCTATTGCTTCCTCACAGCTCTCAGGAAGCCCCCAAACCCTCCGAAATGTTGTTTTGTTTTATATATCAGATGTAATGTGTATTGTGATGGTCCAATCTAAAAAAACCGATAAATTCGATATTTTTGTACATATTTTGAGGTTGGACCATCGAATTTCTATGCTTGGGTGCTTAAATTGAGGCCATGATTAAGCATGATCTACCTGTAATCTTCAGTAGTCCCAAGAGATTTATTCATAGACCTATGGACAAAAAATCCACAAAACAGAGAAAAAACTGGATGTTGTCATGCATATCTTCAGAATCAACCATCCAATTTCTACATTTAGGGGCTCAAATCAAAGCCCTGATTAGAGAGAACCTCCAAATGACCACCAGCAATCCCAAAAAAATTCATCAAAAGACTTGCAGACAGAATGACCTAAGAACACTAGATATTTATGTATCTGCAGATTCAACCATCCAATTTCTACACTTGGGGGCTCAAATTAAAGCTCTAACCAAGGGGAACATCCATATGACCTTCAGTAGTCCTCAAAAAATTCATTGAAAGACATATGGAAAAAATACCATCTATGATCATGAGAAATACTGTTCAAGTTGTACATCAGCCCCTTAAGTTACTGGCAGACCAAAATGAGTCTTACATTCTATTGACATATCCAACAATGACTCTTTTGGACATTTTTTACTCAAGTCACATTGTCTTCAAGTATGTCTAATCACTATTTGACAATAACTATTTGCCATCTCATCCCCATCATGATGCATTCATGCTTCAAGAAACTACATAGATTACACACCAAGTGCATAATTACAGAGATTGCGTGAACATTAAAGTTGCATTTGGGGTTGTTCCTGATGTCTTTTATAAGCCTCATAATGAAAAGTTCAAAAGATTATCAAAAGGTTATGGTTCTATGAGTCAGTTATGCATTCATGCCTGTGAATACTTGCCTAAGAATGACCACACTCCCTTAATGATCTTTCCTGATTATTTGATTATAGCTGGCCTTGTATACACCCTAAGTTCTATATTCCATTGGAAAAATGTAAAGCCTTTACCTGGTGGTTAATTATGCAGTAATCTGGAAAGGTTTAAACATTATGGGCCCACTCTCCCATTATGTTTTAGCCTAGTACAGATGGTCCACATTGTTAGGAAACCTGGTACAGATCCTGTCAATTATGTCATGATTATTTATCAGAATTAAGCAGTGTGTTTGGATATTGTCAATGACTAGTCATTGTTGGTTCAAAACAAGATAATGTATTATTCTTTTCTAGATACCAAGAGAATGTGCTGCATCTTGGAATGAGATTGCATACTGGTATTCCCTTGAAAGTCCCCAAAGACCTTTGATGATTTCATGGGTTTTGCTGATGCCGCCAGCACGTCTGTATGAATTAACTCACGGTTTTGTCCAAAATTCAAACAGTAGCAAGGCCAAAAAAATCTTTTGTAGAAAGAGTATGTCAAAACTACTAGTACCCATCCAAATAATGATGGTTAATATCGCACAAATTATAAGTTGATCAACAATGAACATGCCCCTCGCGTTCCCTACTAGTCAGGTTCTGCACACAATTGTCCCAATGAGTTGAGATGCCACTGAGAATCAGCCAAAAAAATTCTTCCAGGACCCACTAGGCTCGAGCTTTGAAGGTTTAAAAATTGCTAATGATAGGCGCACAGCCAACGGCTATAACTCCCGCTGTCAGAATTGGATTAGTTTATCAGTATGCACAGGGTTTGTTCACCAGAGTTAATAGAAAAGTGAAAACAAAAGAGTGGCATCAACCCGCCAATGAAGATCTCCGAACAAAGGGAAAATTAATCTCATACTCACAAGATTGGTTTTCACAACAAGCAACCACCCCGCCGCACGGGATATTTGCTACGCCAACGTTAGAAACGGGAGTACATCCTACTCCGACTTGACTTGCGATATTTGGAACGACGATTCCGAGGAGCTTAAGGAGTCTGTGCTAATTCGGGACCAGTGGAGGGATTTTTGAGCTTTTCACAACACTTTAAAAGGTCAAAAGATTTATGGACATTTAGTAAGGAACAATCGATTGATTCGGAAGAAGTCCGAAAGGAAGAAGATCCAATTCGTACAGCGTGCAAAGCTTGCATACTTGCGAGGATGAGACCGGTGTTGCATGATTGTTGGCGACGGCTTGGTGGTGATCTGAGTTGGTTCTGAGGGGTGACGACCGCGGAGGTGATACCAGTGGAGATAGAAAGTAGAGATAATAGTAGATTTAATGAATGGAATCGCATGTTTTATTGGAGTTATTAGTCACAGGTGAGGATAATAATCTGTACGAGAACTTGAAGAATCTGAAAGTCTCCGAGTCGATGGCTTTTATAAGTACTCAGCTGCTGAGCTAGGCTCCGCTAAAAGGTTGACGTTGAGCGTTGAAGTTTGGCTTTGATGCATTATAGATACCGGGCTTATGAGCGGTATAATCTGAGCACTGTGCTAAACCCTCGGAGAGCTGACCATCGAAAGCGTACCTTACACTGACAGACTGTTGTATCTTTACCGTATCTTAATACTGTCAACACGAAGCTTGACATAGGATGGTGTGTATGTAAAAAAACCCACTGGATTTGACGGGTTCGACGCTACATACCCGGAACAACTTGATTTGCAAGTTCAAAATTCAAGGAGTTCGAGTCTAGAAAATAAGAGGTATACAAATGAGTTCTATCAGCACCATCGTCGAGTCCATGTACCAAGTGTACATAGCAGTGATCTATAATAACCAAGTCATTTGGCACAAGCGACAAGGAAAGACATCGATTGAGTCATCGTTGGATTAGTAGTCTACAGACAGGGGGGATTACTTGGCTTCTGGGGGCTCTTTTTGCAGATAAATGAAGTATCAACCATAATGGTTCAGGTCCCAATTCAAGAAGGGTATCAATGGATCAATGGAGTAGCGGTAACCTGGATCGTTGCCACCGGGTTTGAACTCGACCCGCCGGGGGTTCGATTCCCCCTTGATCCAATGCCTATTTCTTCAAGAACATTTTGGAGCCAATCTGGTACTGGTAGGTGTTGAAATACATCAACAACCAGATATATTTTAATTTCTTAACAGGTGGTTGGGCGCCAAAGGCAACCACCCGTTTGAAATGGAAACTTCACAATACCTTTGCAACACATGGTTTCCACACTCCATAGTCACTAGCACCTACCAGTACTTGACACAAGTATGAAAGAACAAGTCACTGTCTTACTTTCAGTTCAACTCAAGGTCTCCTTGTTTCCACATTTTCATTCATTCCAATAACCAAAAATCACTGGGTCCAAGAACCTGTAATTCCATGGAATTACAGTGACATTATGGTGGAATTAGTATGGATTGGAAACATATCTGTAATTCCAATGAATTTATGAGTTAAAATTTCTATTCACTGTAGGTCATCACTGTAACTTTTCCACTAGAATTACAGACATGTAGACAATTCATAATTCCTCTGTAAGCTTACTGTGATTCTGAGAACTTACATGTTCTTGCACCCAGTGAATGGTGTTCAAAGACATTGATTCAATGATGCCACATATCTGGACTGATGTATGAATTTAATCTGTTCAAGGCCCAAGCACTCAAAGCTAAAGGAGCTTATAAGAGCTCAACTTGCCATAGATAACTAGTCCGGAAGGTAAGATACACGGTATATAACGATGTAATCATCTAGATTATCGTAAGTACCCCATGTGCCATGTATAGTGATCGATTCAACTTCAACAAGTCAAAGGCTAAGTGCTAATCACTCCTCGGAGTGACTAACAATGAAATAAATGTCCCGGAGTTTAGTAGGGAACATGCAATGATAGACAAGTGAACATGACAGACAGATAAATATATACAGGGTAGCCTAGGATACTTACGTTGGAATGTTGGACAGCTAAAATGTTCACACTTCCATCTGTATTTTTTCATACTTATATAGTCGGGATATTGAAGATTACATTCATACATACACATGTACATTGACAATCTACCAAGAAACAGAATATTATTGTACACATCTCAAGAAGACAAATGGATGGCCTTCCATGTCGATATTCCACCAACATCGCGACTAATGAACAGCGATAGTGAAGTCCACTGGTCGAATTATTGGCTAAGGTCGACGGGAACACAATTAATAGCGACAAGGCCATCTGCGTAAGAAGTTAGATCTGATACAACGTGGCCAGCAAGAACTTGAATGTCGGAAACGACTTAAACTTACTGAAAGAGTTGTTCTCACAACACACGGCACGGCATTGGTAGAACAAGAGTCGCCACCGGCGCCGATGACATTGATAGGGGAGCAAGTAATACCGATGGGGGTATTCACCGGAATAATTGGGATACCCGGCGGGCCTAAAATGGGAATGGACGAACTGTTGACGACCTGGTCGCAGCACTGCCAGTGAAAATGGAAATATATCGATTCAGTCTTTATGTTTATGAAAACACGGAAGCTCGAGCAACATCTCACTGACCTGGATGGGAGGAGTAGCACACTGGCTAGCCGGCTCGGTGCGGCGAGTAGGAGTGGCGACCGCAAGGGTAGCGAGAACAGCAAGAGAAGCAAGACTATGCATGATTCAGCGACCAGGGATTGCTGTTCGAACGAGATTTTGATGCCTTTTATATGTTTCAAATAGTTCGGGATCTGTTCCTGCAGGTACATAGGATGCAAAGCAAGCTCATCTTTTATCAAAAGTTGATGTCATATATTGCACACAGAGCGAAGATTGATCAAAGTAGGAACGTTGCACTTGCTGTTCTGTATAATGCTCAAAAACAAAGGGTACCTAGATAATGATGGCAGATAGTAAACATATTTTTATTGTATAACTATTCAAGAGGAGCTTCTAAGAACCGACAAAGGACTTCATTGTCTTGATCAAAGCGGGACATCTATTGATTGGTCTGAATTCCCAGTCCTCACGGTTGTACCTGTATGCAGTTCAAAGTTCAATACCTGGGAATTCTGCAAACTTTGAGAGAACACATTGCTTCGGAGAAGTAGCGTCGATGAACTATCATCATCATTTGATTCATTAGTCGAGGTCTAGAATCGAATCTAATTAAGTACCGCGAAGAAGATTTGATACAAACAGCTGGACTTCAAGTTTGAATACTCACAAACTAATATCACAGGAGCTCGACACTTGTAGAGACATACATATTATTGCACATTACTCTTTGTTTGCAGAAATAAGTGGCGATCTTCGAACATACTCAGTTATGGCGGGGGTCCGAAGACGTCGGAATTTCGATCCGGCTAAGTTACTCCCGAGTTTTGACTTCGGTTTCGTTCGCTCTTCTAGTTGAGACGTGCCATCAGGTCATAGCAACAAAACAGCCCCAAGAGATTGCATATTCAAACACCAACTACAACATACAACAAATTTCACGAATTCATATAGTACACGAGTAAGCAAAGACCGTCTCGGAAAACTCTCAACTTGACACAAGTGCTTTTCGAGAAATCAGGACTGATGAAGTAGTGATATCATGCCTATTGGTCGACTCAGAGGCTGAGGTCGACGGGGACACAGCCGAGAGCGACGATACCATCTACGAGTTACGTTAGATCTATTGAACTATAGCAGCCAGTAAGGATAGAAAGACTTACTGAAAGAGTTGTTCTCGCAACAGACGGGGTTAGCGGAGCAAGAGTCACCTCCGACGCCGATAACGCTGATGGGAGAGCAAGTAACACCGACGAGGGCGTTGACGTCCTGGACGACAATGCCAAGGAGACTGAGGAGTCCAGCGACGGATTCGCTGTCGGCCTTTTGGACACTGTTGCAGCACTAGAGGAAAACAAAGGCTGTATTAGCACGTTCTTGACAATGACCACCAGAGTAGATGCTCCTGAACCCGTTGGACTCACCTGGACGGGACCAGTGTTACACTGGCTAGCAGGCTCGTTGCGGCGAGTGGGAGTGGCGACCGCAAGAGTAGCGAGAGCAGCAAGAGAAGCGAGACGAGTGAATTGCATGTTTGAGATTTAACTTGAACGACTGAGAAGTTTTTGTTCGAGTGAAGAATCCTCAGCGAGTTTCTACTGGCTTTTATATGTTTTCAGGACCCTGCTTTGACATCGCAAAAAAAGTTGGAGTGCTCGTTCCTTGTCCTGGCCATAGCACCACAAAGCGAGCGCGTTCCTTGGACCCCCAGTGTGCCCGAAAAAATTGACGTCATGTCGCACATATGAGCATTAGGAGGAGCGTCACTGACATTACCCCCGACATGCCTGTAGGTCAATCTAGGCCATCGGCTCAGGGCACTGATTAGAAAAGGGTAGTGATCATTCATGACAGGCAGTGGACAGCGAGAAATAAGCCCACTTTCATCGTAACTGTTCAAGTGGAGCTTACTAGAATTGACAAAGGTCGTGAAGCGAAACATGTTGATTGATTGAATTTAGAAGCCCACATAACTGTGCCTGTACCCAATTGAGAACAACTCACATCGCCTGGGAATATGAACAGCAAGTACGATCTTGAGAAAAGATGTAGTAGCATTTTGCAGATCGAGTGCTCACCAGCTACAATACTTCATGTGGCCAAATGACACGAGCATCAATGGGGCAGCGGTAACCTGGGTCGCTGCCATGAATATTGCACCTGAGCATACTCGACCCGCCGGGGATTCGATTCCCCCTTGATGCATTGAAAGAGATTGAACCAGAAAGTTTTTTCGAGCTCGCCTGGTAGGTGTTGACAACGTTCAACGTTGACACTTTAAAAGCTTAACCAGTTAGTCACATGAGCCTCGACAACCAGACCTGTCCTTTTCACAAGTTTGTAGATTCCAAAAGGAAGTCTTCTGGATGCGATCATTAATCAGCGTCGAGGCATGAACATTTCGGTAGTGACGCCGCTCGCTGTCAGCACGTCTATAATTAACTTACGGTTTTGTCCAAAATTCAAATAGTAGCAAGGCCAAAAAAAATCTTTTGTAGAAAGAGTATGTCAAAACTACTAGTACCCATCCAAATAATGATGGTTAATATCGCACAAATTATAAGTTGATCAACAATGAACATGCCCCTCGCGTTCCCTACTAGTCAGGTTCTGCACACAATTGTCCCAATGAGTTGAGATGCCACTGAGAATCAGCCAAAAAAATTCTTCCAGGACCCACTAGGCTCGAGCTTTGAAGGTTTAAAAATTGCTAATGATAGGCGCACAGCCAACGGCTATAACCCCCGCTGTCAGAATTGGATTAGTTTATCAGTATGCACAGGGTTTGTTCACCAGAGTTAATAGAAAAGTGAAAACAAAAGAGTGGCATCAACCCGCCAATGAAGATCTCCGAACAAAGGGGAAATTAATCTCATACTCACAAGATTGATTTTCACAACAAGCAACCACCCCGCCGCACGGGATATTTGCTACGCCAACGTTAGAAACGGGAGTACATCCTACTCCGACTTGACTTGCGATATTTGGAACGACGATTCCGAGGAGCTTAAGGAGTTGTGCTAATTCGGGATCAGTGGAGGGATTTTCGAGCTTTTCGCAGCACTTTAAAAGGTAAAAAGATTTATGGACATTCAGTACGGAACGATCGATTGATTCGGAAGAAGTCCGAAAGGAAGAACATCCAATTCGTGCAGCGTGCAAAGCTTGATACTTACGAGGGTGAGGGTGTTGCATTGTTGGCGACGGCTTGGTGGTGATCTAAGTTGGTTCTGAGGGGTGACGACCGCAGAGGTGATACCAGTGCAGATAGAAAGTAGAGATAACAGTAGATTTAATGAATGGAAGCGCATATTTTATCGGAGTTATTGCCAGTGGCCACAGGTGAGGATGGTAATCTGTACGAGAACTTGAAGAATCTGAAAGTCTCCGAGTCGATGGCTTTTATAAGTACTTACACTTATACTTACAAAGACAATCTTTACATCTTATCGGAACATCGAGCTGCTAAGCTAGGCTGCGCTCGAAAGTTGACGTTGAGTGTTGAAGTGTTGAAGTTTGACTTTTGACGCATTATCGATGCCGGAAGGCTTATGAGCGGTATAATCTGAACACTGTGCTAAACCCTCGGAGAGCTGACCACTGAAAGCGTACCTTACACTGTCCGACTATTGTATCTTTATTGTATCTTAATACTGTCACCACGAAGCTTAACATAGGATGTGTGTGTATGCATAAAACCCCCTGGATTTAAAAATTTGGCACCACGTACCCGAAACAACTTGATGTGTAAGTTCAAAATTCCAGGATTTCGACCCTAGAGATAAGAGGTATACAAATGAGCTCTATCAGCACCGTCGTCGAGTCTATGTACTAAGTGTACATAAGGTAACCAAGTCGTTGGCACAAGTGACAAGTGACAAGGGAAGATATCGATTGAATCATCGTTGAATTAGTAGGCTACAGAAAAACGAGCAGACAGCCTGAGAGACAGAATATTCTGAAGTATTCATTTATGAAGAAAAGTGGGCCAACGCTCAACGTCAACGCGCATGGCAATCAACTGCTACTGGGCTGGGAAATCCGAAAGTCGGTGCCAAACTGGCAGGACCACATCGGTGACTGACCGAGGCGAAAAGTCGCATGTACTGAAGTGAGCCACTGCAAGCGTGGCAAGTATGAGGATTGGCTCATCATACATCATGCATCAACCGTTACCAGGCTGACTCGTGTGAAGAAGCCGGAGTTTCCCGATGTCTGATTGGTAATAAAGGTCTTGACAAGCAAGACCACATCGGTGACCGAGGCGAAAAAGTTGCGACGATTCCTCCTTTCAGTCGGCCTCGTAACGAAATTCTTCCTTTCAGTGAGCCCCGTAACAGGACATTAGTAGTACTTGTTTCACTACGTCTCAGACTATAACGAATCATGATCATACCTTCATCACACCTCCACATCCACTAATTCTACGCATTTTCTGCTCTTTTGCGCCGACACCGAGGCCATACCTTTTCATACTCTCATTTAAATTTCATTTCGTATTCAACTCCAATGGTTACAAAACCAAATTGTACTATCAGATGGAAAGGAGTACTCACAAATAATGCGGTCTAAGGACTGCAGGGAGGGCGACGGGCGTAGACAGTAGACTAATCTGACTCAGATTTTAATTTTTGGTGTATTTGGACGAAGACTCATGAACTATGTTAGTCGTGCCGTCATCTCAATCATGAGGTTTGCACTGTCTTTAGAATCATAATTTTCATCCATGATCCATCCTTTTGCCTCATCATCGCACTGTATGGCTTCAAAATTCATCTATCCTCTCGAAAAGAGGACAAGAAAGCAACCAGGTACTTCTAGGACTGAGGATAGTTGTGCTGCTAGTCTGAATAACTATGTATGACTCATTCTAAGCGATTGAAGGATACTAGAACTTCCTTATAAGTTACACAAGGCCTTGCCAAAGCCTACCATAATCACGGATGCATGTCGTTCCCAGAGGTCAAAGCAATTACAACGGCCCAGTTTATATGATGCCGTTATACGTATCCGAAACTTTCTTTCTGACATAATTCCATGACTCAGACAGCGTCGAGCGACTAAAGTTACCTGTTTACCACGCGGCAGCTGTTCTTCTGAACTTTCATGAAAGACGTCGCGATCCCTTTGCGACGCATGGTCTCCACACTCCATAGTCACCAGAATCTTTCATAAAACCCCAGTACTTGTGGAAGAACTTCATTCTCTTACTTTCAGCTCATCTCAAGTTCCCTAGGAATGGCATCCGGAGACGTCGATTGGGCCCCTACGCACCTAACAGTAGCTCGGTCAGCTCTCCGATGTAGTCGATCGCGAGGTGCAGCCAGAACACCCGACATCATTGTCGACGAAGTCGAAGCATTTAATCTTCAATCACCCGATGAACAGAAACTAGGACGGTATCGGTATCGTCCTCAGACTCCCGAATCTTTGGACGAATTTTCACTCGAAGGAATCAGTCCAGTCGTCAGATCACGAGCTCAGCTTGGCTTTGATTGGGATTCTGAGTTGGACTTGGACGTCCTTCCACTTATTTCCGACCCCAACCTGAATCGATCTGGACCATCATCGCCTTTCAACTCAGATCTAAATCCATCTGCACCACCACGGAGACTATTGTGAGTGATGAGGACTATGATCCCGATAATGGATGTAAATTGATTTGCTTCACCACAACTTGAAGTAATATAGACTCGGGAGGCTCCTGGAGCTCCACGCCTCACAAAATGCTTTCGACCCCAATCTCAGAGTGAGTTCCTAAATTTTCCTTCCTCGATCTATGATAAATGACCGTTTTTCCTTTCAGATTGGCTCCAAAGTGCATAATTTGCGCTGAGACCGTTTCCCCATCTTTCACTGCGCCCTGCGGTCATCGCTATTGTCAAATTTGCTTGGAGAATTATGTCACTGTGTCCATCAAAGATGAAAGCTCATTCCCTCCACAATGTTGTAGACAACCCTTTCCCTTGGATTTAGAGCTAAAGGAGCCTTCTTCAAGTCGTTTGTCGCCCTCTTCTCTGTCGTCCGTATTGTCGAACCCAGCATTAATTCGTTGCCTCAAGGAAAAAGCCCACGAGTTCTCTGTACCATCAGGGGATCGGCTATACTGTCCTAATCTCCAATGTTCTGTTTTTCTTGGGTCTTTTAACGCTCTTCGGATAGAGGCTAGACCTGTACCCATTACATGTTCCTCCTGTGGAGCCACTGTCTGCCCTCAGTGCAAAGGAGTTTCTCATACTGGTTTAAAATGCCCTGCCTCTCCAGAATTGGCGGAAAGCCAGTTTCGCAAACTAGTGAAAGAGAAGAAGTGGCAAACTTGCCCTCAATGTAGAGAGATTGTTGAAAGAACAGAAGGTTGCCCTCATATGGTTTGTCGGTGCAAAGCAGAGTTCTGTTATGGATGTGGGTCAAATTGGGATGAGGGAATGGGATGTATTTGTGGACCGCCAAGGGTACCATCCCCACTGCTAAGATACTGGGACCTCGATGATGATGATAATCCGGACCTCGATGATGACTCGGATCTCGATGATGATGTCGACTCGGAGGATGGATTAGGACTGAATACAATTCCTGCTGTTAACGGGGCAGGCTCGTGAGGCTTTTAAATCTCATCCACGGCATCACGAGATAGATGCGGAGGCACTGATAGGGCAACTATCATCCAATGCCACTCGATCTGGAATCCTGAGCCAAACCGTTACAGTGGATAATGAATAAGTCGAATTTCGCAGAAACTTTGTTTACGTGAATCTATAATGATGAGTCTATTTTTTACTAGCTGCTTTGGACTGAATGAAGAAACTTATATGAGGTGTCTTTCTGAGATTCTATTTTTCTGCTTTGCCTATATTATAACTCACTCCAGCTCTCTCTTACAGCTATTTTATGTATACTATACATATAGAATAGTTTTGGAGATTTATTTGATGTTTCGTGTAATACAACAAAAGGCCAGGCAACTCGGCACCAAACTGTTCAACAAACTCGCATTACGAGTTGGGATTGATGGGAACACATCCAGTAGCCACAACTCCCGCTTCAGTTTTTTCAACATTTCGGGTTTCAAGTTCCCAGCGGCAGAGAAAAGTTAAATTTGAGTCCGAATCAGTACACGCTCTTCGATCACGGCAAGACCAAGAGAAAAACAAAACAAACAAAGGAACAGAAAGCAAGAAACTCGCCACCCGAGAAATCAAGTACCA